TTCACGGTGTTGCCCAAGAAAGCTTCATGCTGCTGATGGGAAAGGCTCTGTTCTTCTGAAACAGGGCTTGTTACTGCTGACGAAGGAGACAGCCTCCCCATCCACGGGAGTAAACAGAGAGGGGACTGGGTCGCTCTTTGGGCCTTTTCACCCGTCTATGCAGAGGAGAAAGGGGTTCAGATTGTTCATCCCCATCAGTCTAGGGCCTTCTAAGAAATCCTGGCTCTTCATCCAAGGATGGATGCCAGGCATGAAGGTTCAACAGGACCAGGAGCTCCCAGCAAGGAACCCAGCGCCTGCCGCTGTGCCTCTTGGGCATTGTCAAGGACTGGAGGCTTTGCCTACCCAGGCTGAGCTTGCTCATTTACCTTTTCTTAGGCCTCACTCCCTTGTGAGGCTGCCAGTTCCCTTGAGGACTTGGGCTGAGCCTCGCAGGGGCCCTCCATGCAAAGTCACCAACCTGGAGTCTGCTCGGTAGCCAGTGCCACAGACGGCAGCTGCCACCACTGCTTTGGGTGGGGGACATGGCCTGGGCTCCAGATGCCGGCCAGCGCCCTGTGCGTGCCTTGCCAGCTCAGGGCTCCGTCATTCAGAAGGTTCCATTTGTTCACTAGTACCTGGTTTGCTCCTGGAGAGAGAATAATGAATTGATCTCCGTGCTGCCTGCTGACTCAAACTTGCCTCCCCAGTCGTTTTCCTGGTTAGGAAGCTCGTAATTTGTGAGTCAGGTAGGGGACCTTGTCTGTGAGAGAGCACTTTGCACACTCCAAGGGCTTCCAGGTTACGAATCCCCACTCCACTCGGTGCTCTGAGTCCCTGTGCTGCCCACCCCAGTTGTCGCCGACCACGCACGGCATTGAGACGCGCCGGAAGAATAAATGTGTACGTGCCGGACTGTGAAGGCTGAACTCACAAAAAATGTGAAACGCCTTCTTAATTTTACATGGCAATAACATTTTGGGTATATTGGGTTACATAAAATATTTCATTTTAAAATCATCTTAAATTATTGGGGAAAAAAGCAGGGTCAACTGTAATAGCATAAGCAATAAAATACAATAAAAAATTATTGGGGTCACAGTGTTTAACAAAATTATGTAGGTTTCAAGTGTACAATTTTATAATCTATCATCTGTACATTGCATTGTCTTTAGTGTGGCTCCCGGAAAATTTTACAGTGCATATGTGGGTCATTTTGACATTTATAATAAAAGTAATAACAACACATGACTTGTCATAGGGTAAGATTTGACTGAGCACCAGAGACATGTTAATAGTGATTACTGTCATCTTTGGGAAGGTTTACTGTTACCCTGATTAGATCTCTTAATTACCTGAGAAGACTGCAGTTTTTCTGAGAAAGTACGAAAACTGTTACACTTTTATCTATACAATTCATCCGTTGTGTGACTACCATTGGGGAAGCTGTGGTTAACATTACAGATGAGAAAAGGCTTGGTAAAAATGGGGAACTCTTCTCAATGCTGAGCTAAAATGTTAGATATATCCCATAAATTCAAGAAATATTTGTTTGATAAGTGAAAAAAGTGCGTATGTGGCTCACACCGTATTTCTATTGGGCAGAGCTTTGAGGAGGTGGAATGATCAGCATGTTGCAGAGGAGGCGACGGAGACTAGGAGAAGTTAAGCCAAACCTAGAGAAAGATTCCTGACTCCATAGCCTGTGTAGTTTCTTTTGACTCTTCTACTGAATGGGACCAATGAATGAGTTTGGCCCCGCGTTGTACGTACCATGTGTATCAGTTGGTTCTGGAGTTGCTGTCTGGGGGTTGTTACTGCTGGGTAGGTTTGGGCGGGCTTTCTTGTTTAGGACCCCAAAACATTGCCCTTAGTTGGGAGGCAGCGGCAATAACAGATAGAGCACAGAACTAAAATTCAGGAGCCACAGATTCGAGGCCTGGATTGTCTGTGTGACCTTGGGCAGGTTACTGCGAGGCCTCCTCACCCAAACGAGGAACGGCAGGGACTCAGTGCCCCTTTGCTTCGATGTTCATAACCCCATTGTCCAGATCCATGGGGTTCCCAAGTCCTGGCTCACACCTGGGCCGGGAGAGCTTTACTTTTCTGAGAGTGTTACTAAAAGCCCAGAAATTCTGGCCATACCCCGGAGAAATTCAAACTTGCAGACGACCACAGGAAGGAGTTGGCTCTTAATGGCCACTGTGGATGTGGGTGTGTGATACACATTATACATACAGTGAGATATGCATATATGTGTATGGATACACATCTATATATAAGTGCATATATAACAGCTAAAGTTTCATACGTGCACATGCTATACATATAACTGCCTCTGTATATAACTCATATGTATATCTATGCTTCTCGCTCTCTCTGTTTCCCTGTCTCTCTCTCTCTGAGACTTTAGCCAAGCTTTTATTTCCCCTATAGCTCAAATATTAAATATTTTTGGAATGTAGAAGGCTGATAATAAGCAAATACATTTTTAGAAAGTTTAAAGGAGAAATGAGGAGCTGTTAAATAACTAACTGCCCAGTTTTGGGGTTTTGTTTTTGTTTTTTTTTTTTTGTATTTCTACTTCTGACAGGACACACGACATTTAGTTTCTTCTCTCTGTGACTGCCGGTAATTCCCCTTTAGGAAAAAGACCTCAGATGGGCGCTGGGCTGAGCAGGAGGCCTCATAACAGAGTAGGGAGAACATTCGGACAGCACGGCTTTTAGAGCTGGGCCGCTGACTCTGCCCCTCCGGCGCGGAGGGGCTGGGGCTAGTGGTGGATCCCCGAGTGGGAATAGAGAGCAGTAATACGGAGACAGCACTGCCCATCGCTTCGCCCACCCCACCCCCTGCCCAGGCACACACGCTCCCATGCTCACACATGCACGAACCCACACTGGTACATACACACGCACATGTGCACACACATGTGAGAGGCAAGCACAGCTGGTCCATTCCGTAGGCCCACACGCGCAGTTGAGAAGGAAATGGAATTTGCCTGAAACATACTGAAATGTTCAATTGACTGAAGCAAATGGCCCATTAAATTGAGCTTATCCAATCAGTAGAACCAACCTTGAACCACATCTTGTTTGGCCAGCCATCCTTAAACATTTCCCTTTTTTTCCCAAAACAATTACACCACTCGATCTTGCCAGTCTCTTTGCCAGCATTCGGTGATTCTCTAAAGGTTTCCAGCTATTTAACTGCTTGTTCTTTAATATACATTTTTTCCTCCAAATAGTTAATACAGTCGAAATCTGAGGGAACTGGATCAATTGGCTCTGGAGGCGGTTCTTTGTTTATACATTCTGAACAAGTTTTAAACTGATTAAATGAATTTTAAACCTGGTCTAAAGAAGATGATGGGCCCCCTGATGGAGAACATTTTCACTGGTTCTGGAAGCCCCACAGTCCCCAAGCCTGGCCTGCCTCTAGGCCATCCCTAGCTGTGCTTAGTTAGACAGGGGTTACTTCAAAGACAGCTTCCGCTCTCCTCTTTCTGGGAGAGGGTCAAACATGGATTGTTTCTCAGCGCCTGGAGAACGCGAGCCATAAGCCGTCCCTCTTGGGGAACCCGTGCCATCCCGCCCAGAGTGCCTGTGAGCTTGAGGGGCTCGAATGCCTAACTGTGATAAATCCCAGATGGGTAAAGAGGAGAAGGTGTAAAGGAGGCAGTTTGTGGAAAGACAGCTCTGAGTTCAGAGTTTTGAATTTGGGCTCTGCATTTTGAATGAACTTCTTGGTATCCTTGGGCAAGACTGTCATCTGTGACCGTCCTGCCTGCCCCCCTTCCACTGCAGGGTTGTGGGGACAAGTCAACTGAGCGGTCTGCAAGACGACTTTGCAAATAGTAAGGCATTGCACACATGAAGGCTTTTCGATCTTTCTAGGACCTCACCTGTTCATCCCTCTAGCCCCACTTCAAACCTTTCTGCTGCTGTGAAGCCCTCCCCAGCTGTTTCAGGCAGAATGAGTGACCATACGCCCCCATGGCGCCCTGCCTGAACGATGATCGTACCTGCATGACGGCAGTGCCTGCAGTCAGGGCGCAGCAGTCAGCCTTTCCCAAACGTGTGCTGCTGTACGAGCCACCCCAAAACTCAGTGGCTAAAACCCACCAGGATGCAGGATGTGAGCCCAGCGGCTCTGCGGCCCCTGTCCCTCCTCCTCCTCCTGGAACCAGGGGCTGACCGGGGCACATTATTCTCATGGCAAGAGGGCGAGCGGAGGCACACGAGGCCTCTTAAGGCCTGGGCTGGGGACTGACAAATTGTCTTTTCTGCCCACACGCTGTTGGCCCAACACAAACCATATTGTTGGGAAGCATATTCCTCTCACAATGAAGCCAGAACAAGAACTGGATGCAGGGTAAGGGGAAGAACTGGAACCAAACAGTCAATCGTTCATACGGGTTCACCTGTGCTATTAGATCCGGAGCTCCCGGGGGCCTGGGGCAGGAACAAGGTGTGCCCCATACCACCTGCCACTGCACCTGGAGCTGGCAGGTAGTAGATGTTTCACTGATGTTTGTTAAGGTCTGAAAGGCCTCCCCAACCCTCTCGTTTATAGCAGAGTTTGGCAAACTGTGGCTACCAGGCCAACGCGGGCTCTTGCGCTCTCTCTCTCAAACTTATAAACTATTCAAGAGAACATATAAATTGTTGGAAAACAAAAGAAAAATATATTTAATGAGACATAAAATTATGTGAATTCAGATTTCAGTGTCCATAAATAAAGCTTTATTGGGACACAGCCACACCCATGCCTTTGTGTATTGTCTGTGGCTACTTAAGAGCAAAACTGCATACTTAGAGTTGCCATAGAGACTCTATGTCCCTGAAGCCTCAACTTTTCCTATCTGGTCCTACACAGAAAGTTTACCACCCCCTGCTTTGTAGGATCAAGACACTGAGAGAGCCCCGGGGGAGGTGAATGCCCTGCCCAAGACTCCAGAGTCATTGGCTCCTTTAAGCCTGTGCATTTGGGGTTAATAATTTCCTTTCTTTGTTTCCTAGTAATTGGCTACCTGCCACGCCCATGTGTCACTGATAAGGAGGCACTTCTTGCGGCAGCACTTCATGACCCAGCGACGTCCAGCCTAGTGAAGCCACTGTGGTGTCCAGCATGGCCACGCTGCTTCTGGGCGCCGCGCTGCTGGTGGCGCAGCTGCAGCTAGTGCCTTCCCGCCCCGGGGCAGAGCCTCAGGGGCTTGTGCGGAAAGCAGCCACCCTCCAGGACGAGGCCCTGGATGGGGTGGCCCCCAATGGCTCAGCCCAGCAGCTGCCGCAGACAATCATCATAGGGGTGCGCAAGGGAGGCACCCGCGCACTGTTGGAGATGCTCAGCCTGCACCCCGACGTGGCAGCCGCCGAGAACGAGGTCCACTTCTTCGACTGGGAGGAGCACTACAGCCAAGGCCTGGGCTGGTACCTCAGCCAGATGCCCCTCTCCACCCCGCACCAGCTCACCGTGGAAAAGACCCCCGCGTACTTCACGTCGCCCAAAGTGCCTGAGCGGGTCCACAGCATGAATCCGGCCATTCGGCTGCTGCTCATCCTGCGGGACCCGTCGGAGCGCGTGCTGTCGGACTACACGCAAGTGCTGTACAACCACGTGCAGAAGCGCAAGCCCTACCCGTCCATCGAGGAGTTCCTGGTGCGCGACGGCCGGCTCAACGTGGACTACAAGGCGCTCAACCGCAGCCTCTACCACGTGCACATGCGCAACTGGCTGCGCTTCTTCCCGCTGCGCCACATCCACATCGTGGACGGCGACCGCCTCATCAGGGACCCTTTCCCCGAGATCCAAAAGGTCGAGAGGTTTCTGAAGCTGTCGCCGCAGATCAACGCCTCGAACTTCTACTTTAACAAAACCAAGGGCTTTTACTGCCTGCGGGACAGCGGCCGGGACCGCTGCTTACACGAGTCCAAAGGCCGGGCGCACCCTCAAGTGGACCCCAAACTCCTCAATAAATTGCACGAATATTTTCACGAGCCAAATAAGAAATTTTTTGAGCTTGTGGGCAGAACATTTGACTGGCACTGATTTGCGATAAGCTAGGCTCGGAGCCTTTCCTACTGTAAGTTCGGGGGTACATCTAGGGGGAAAATAATTTTAAAAGGGCATTTAAGCTATAATTTATTTGTAAAATCCATAAATTACTTCTGTACAGTATTAGATTCACAATTGCCATATATACTAGTTATATTTTTCTACTTGTTAAATTGAGGGCATTTTGTATTGTTTTTCATGTTTGTTAACATTGTGTAATATGTCTCTATATGAAGGAACTAAAAGATTTCACTGCAAAAAGAAAAAAGAAAAAAAAAGAAAAAAAATTCTGGAGACGCTGTCTTTTTTTTTTTTTTTTAATATAATTAATTTGCCCCTGACTCAAACTAGCTGTCTATGTTGCACTTATTGGAGACTATATTCCTTTGTTACAAAAAAAAAAAAAAAAAGAAAAGAAAAAAAGAGATTTTCATGACTATGATGTTCATCTCTCCCTTTTCTCTTGTGTTCTTTTTAATTTTTAATGTCTCGCTGTGGTCATCCGATTTCTTTTTTCTTTGCATTGTAAGATGTATCTTCATTGAGACCCCCTATTATTCCCGGGAGGGAGGCAGTTTCACCCCCTCCTGACTTCAGCAGACACCTGAGTTTGGATGTAACCCCATGTAAACTCAAGGTGGGCAAAGCCATGTTAAGACTGGAGAAGCAGTCGATAACTAGTAAGAAGCTCCCTGTGAGTCACCTGTGCCTCAGAGAGCGCTTGCATGTATTCCTGATCTCAGCCATGGTAGAAACCCACGAAGAAGGTGGGCAAATCCTACAATAAAGGGGTTTCAAGCACTGGCCTTCAGAATGACCTTGAGACTGCGTATACTGCCCCTGGTGGCCATGGGTCTCCACAGAGCAACTTAGATTTCCTGTTCTATGTGTGTCTACATCTTACAGATTTCTGGGAAAAGCTGACTAAAGGGAAGCCTTTTTGCTTTGGTTGGGGTCTGTTTAACTATGTCTTGAAAGCTCAGCGTGCATTCAAACACACAGATGCCATATGCAGGCCTATGTCAGGTCTTTTTTAACTTTGTTTTTATTGTTGATACTATTACAGATGCCCCATTCCCCCCTCTGCCCACCTCCACCCAGCACCCCCTTCCCTCTGGCCATCAGCACAGTGTCGGCTGTGTCTTCTGCCCCCGAACATCTGGGTTGGTGGAGGAGCCTCGGTTTTCTCGTGCTGTCTTCCTTCAGTCAGCCTTTTACAGAGTTACATAAATTGGGCTTTTTTCTCACGAAAGCAAAACATGTTCATTACGGTAGGACGAAAACTACAAACAGGCAAAATAAAGCCGTTTCCTGACAGAGTTTATACTTACGGCAGAGGAGCGAAATGGACATTATTGATCGTTTTCTGCACACAGGAACTCATTGGAATTTTTCCCCAAACCACCTCACGAAGTAGGAATCATTATGGCAAGTTCGAAAAGGAGGAAGTAGGCATGAAGGAGATGAGGGATGTGCCCAGGCTCACGCTGACTGGAAGCAAGCCAGGGCTTGGGGTCCGCAGATAGCTAAAGCATGCCTTTTGTTTCTTCCCGCACAACTGTGTCTGAACCCCAAATAAAAGGCCCTGGCTCAGAGACAGGTCTTCCCTACTTCGCCTGAGAGATGTCTTTTCTGGTGCCAAAGGTCGTCCATTCCAAGAAGCGTGGCCAGGTCAGAGGGAAGGGGCGAGAAGGAGCCTGTGTTCTCAGCAGTGCCCGCAGGGAGGTGAGTCACCATGGTTCTGTTTCAGCACCTGCAGCCGGGCCTGACCCGAGCACAGCCCAGGCCCACCCCCGGGCCCTGCCTGGGGAGCAGAGAGAAGAGCTCTCTCTTTAGAAGCCACCAAGGCTGTCATTACAAACCAGCTCCCCAGAGGGCGCGGCAGGAATCCCCGAAGCAGGCTGTCCCTAGTGCTGCAGGCAGCGCAGTGCTTTCCTCTGCAGCACCGGATCTCGCTTTTATCACCCCCCCTTAGGAACTGAAGAAATGAGAGACCCGGGAAGGTTAAATCGGGTTTCCAAGGCGGCCCGTGAATTTGGTGACAAAATGGAGACCCCAGTGTGAGGTTTCCGACCCCAAGAGAATGGCCTTTGCAAAAGTCCTATGCCCTAATGGGGATGATATGCTCGAGGCACAGGGTGTTGGGCAAAAGGTGGCACATGGGAAAGGAGGAAGGGCCAAGCACCAGGGGCATGCTCTAACAGCTGGGGCTGGCACAGTCCATGGTGGGGGGGGGCAGCATAAAATGGCCAGTGGGTGCAAATCCAGTAATTGTTGATTTGGGGATGCAAGGTGTTGACCAAGATGTGTTCATGGAAGTCCGCCATGGGCAAGGGGTTCTGGTTCTAGTGGCTACGCCTATTCAAAAGGTGCAAGGAGTTAGCAGCCATCACTCCAGACCTGGCCCAGGCACTTAGATCTGATGTGAGCCCTGTCAGATTCAGAGGATGCCCTGCAGTTGACCTGTGCCTGCCTTCCTGTGGGCCCAAATCCCTGACTCAGAAACCAGGTCGGCACCTGGTCCCTCTTCAAACACATCTAATACCAATTCTATTGACGAAGAGAGAGGTGCCAACTGGACAGAGTGAGCTTCCTGCCTGAACCAGTCCAGGCCCAGCGGCAACCTGGGGGCCACTAGGCGGGGTCCTTTGGGAGAGGCTGCTGGGAGCAGCTGTGTGGAGCCTCAGCTAGCGTATTTGGAATATTCATGGCACTTGATGCTTCTGAGTCAAGACAACCCCTGCCTCTCCCTTCCTCTAGGAATCAGATAAACTCTGTTAACCCAGGTTATGAAAATCTGCAAGCCCAGCAGAAATGATGCTTAGCCTCTGAGTGCAGGGTGCTGCTCTTTCTGTGTCAGGAGGCTAAGGGGGGGAGGAGGAAGAGAAAACCAAAGCCCAGGGTGCCTGCCTCTTGCTTACGGGGGAATCCAAAGTCACGGACAAGAGTGTAGATGTTCATTAACATGATATTTTTCTTTTGAGCCCCTGCTCTGTGTTTAACTTGTTATTAAGCCCTTTGGAGTGTAAAAGAAAATGCAGCAACAGGAACTAATAGTTATCGACTGTTCGGGGTTTAAATTAAAAAAAAAAAAAAATGGAAGGGCCAGGAAGGCGGGGGAAATGACATTGAGAACTGGCCAGTGCTTTCTCATTTAATTTAGAAACAACTAGCTCCACTATAGAGAGGGGGAAACTGAGGTATAAATTTGGGCCTACCTTGATTGCTTTCCAAGAAAAAGGACTACTACTCATGCTAATGGAATCGTTATCCCGGAGATGGGGAATGATGACACTAAGGAACGTAAAGAGACGGGGAGAGGAGGTGCCAGAGACGTTGCTCATAATGCCATTACTCAAGAGTAGTAACAGATGAACAGTCTTCCTAAAGGTCATATGGCAGAGCTATGACCATGATCACTTAGAACTGATGGGCTACAGAGACCCCACTGTTGCCACAGGAGAGCTTCTCAAAAGATGTGCTAGGAGCCAGAGCACAGAGAGTGATGGATGTAACAGGAGCAGGGCATTCTGGACAAGGGCAGCTTGAGGAATCAAGACTGGTGGTGGGGAAGGGAGGGAGATAGGGGACCTGAGGGCCAGAAACTTGTCTACTGGGCATGCAAATGGGTAGACACTGCATCAGACAGTTGTGGCCTTGACATCTGCTTTCCAAGTAGTGGCATCTTTCTTGGCAGACACCCACATGTCTCTGTCTCCTGTGCAGGTGTGTCTGTCACATAAAAATAACTATCATTTATTGCACACCAGCTATGTGCTTGGTATTTTAAATAATGTTGCTGCTAATCCCCAGGACAGTTCTAAATAGGAAATGCCATGGTACTAATTTTACAGAGGCAGAAACTCAAAATCTGAGATGAAAGGTTTTCGCCACAATAGCAGAGCCATTGATTGTTATAATTGGAATGTAGTCTCCAACATCCCTGCCCTACTACAGTAAAGTCTGTGCAGTTGTGGGTAAGGGGAGGAAGAAGTATTGCATGAATATCTGTCTCTTAGGAAATGCCCACAAGGGAAGTGATGGGCAACCAGGATGTGGAGGTGCACAGATAGGGCTAAACTAGATCAGATCATCTTCAAGCAAAAGACTGGCTGGGACTGGATACGACTGGGGCATGACAAAGCTCTTTATTCTTAGAAGTTCACCAAGGAAGCCCAAACCTGAGCTGGAGGCCAGAGCAACACAACCGAGCTCTCCCAGGGGCCAAAAAGGAAGACCAAACTACGAACACTCTAACTGAATTACGTTATGGAAGTATTTTGATGTAGGAAATGGCCTTGGTTCATCACCCTGAAATCAAGATCCACTTTCTCCCAATTTCCCAATTAGATAACCTAAGAGGAAAAGCAATGTGAGCCAGGAGACCTGGGGGTGAATCCCAACTCTACTGATTGATTATTGACCATGTGGCCTTAAGGTCATATTCTCAAAACCAACTTCCTTGTCAATCCTAATGGGCTGATATTTACTTAACTCTGTTTGGGGGGAAATTCAATACGTTCAAGTAGGTGGAAACTATAAATCTGTTGGGTATGTGACATAGTGGTTAAAAGGATTTAGGACTTTGGCAGACAAACCTAAACTGGTTTTGAACCAGAGAGCAGGCACCCACTGCCTTTGTTTCCCCACCTACTTCCAGCTCTGGGGGCTGCAGCCATTGGTAGGAGTGTCCCTTCAGGATTCCATTTACCAGGGAAAGGCCTCCAGGCCACTACCAGAAGAGCTGGTGGCTAATGGCTCGCCCTGTATTGTTTTCTGGGGAATTTCCTTTTGCTGCCAGGGCTATCTTACTTGGAGGTGCCTGGAAAGTTATACCCACCCTGTTCTCCACTTCCCTTAGGGTTGCCAGTGGCTAATGATTGACAGATGGGAGACAGGGGATTGGGCTGTGTGGTAACAGCCCCACCTCCTGGTCTCTGGGCAGGACAACCTCTGTGGTACAACCCATGTTCCAAAGCTCCTCATGGGCAGGCTAAGACCAGACTTCTCCCTTAGCCTGTGTCCATATTACCTTGCCCATACCTTCTGTAACCCACTACCCAGCAAATGACTTGCCCAAGAATATAGAAGTCTGCATTTCAGGCTTTGCTTCTAAGGGCATCCAGCCCAAAATAGTCAACTTGCAAAGATGTCTTATTCTCCCTGAATTCCAGAGATGAGCACTCAGAACTTACTCCCTAATACTTTCTACACTATATATTTGTTGTCTAATTACTGTCTAACTCCTTACTGGCCAGTTTGCTCCC